GAAAATGTATTATAATAAAAGTTTATTTGCTCTAGTTCTGATATAATTCAACAACTATTTTGTGGCACAGAAATTTGATATCTTTGGTGAGCTTAAAATGAATGATGTTTGTTGGAAGACCTATAGTTTGGGTCCGGTAACTCCTTTTTTGTAACCTAATCACAATGAAATGTTTAAAAATTAAAGTGTGGTTTTATATTTGAAAGTAATATCAAGTTATGAAAATGAGATCATTCATAGTCCGAAGGAAACAACAGGTATACTCTAATATCTAAGAAGTATACTAATAGGTTTTCTGAGATGTTCTCTATGCATTTTTTTAAAAAAAATGTAAACTTGACATTTTAGGTCTTCAGTTATAAATACACCTGTTATAAGGTGTTTAATATAGCTCAGGAAAGTGAGCATTTTGTGAGAGAAATGTATGGTATAGTTCATAAGAGGTTGGTTAAATGGTTTCAGATGTTATGAAGCTGTTTTAAAAATTAAGATATTTATATCAGAGTATTTAGAACACTGATAAATGTGGCAGTGGTCGTTGAGGATGGCACACGGCCAGGATTAACTCTGAAGAAACCAGTGGAATAGAAGAGAGGTAGTAGTTAGCTTTGTATGAACCTTAGGTTTTCTGTGTAATATGCTAAACCATGTGAGCTCTTTTCTGTTATATTACTAATGTTGTGGTGCCTGAGGCATTGTATATAAAGGAATGCTTTAATCTTTTTTTAATCTTTGTTTAAACTAGTTTTAACTATTACACAATTTAAACAAATCCTACTTAAAAGCCAATTGAAATAATGAAAAGTAGAACTTTATAAATTGTTTATGAATAGTTTTCATAAAAGAATATTAGTCTCCAGTGAATTTTAGTGATGGCTTATGCTTTAATTTTGGAATTACATAGCTAAAATAAATATAACTTTAAAAATCAAAAGGAGTATCTGTACAGTTCAGACACTAAATTTAAAAGATATATAAATATATATATATATATAAGTTCAGAATAATTTTTGAGTAAATATTACTCAGTGAACTGGAACATTTTAAAACTATCTGCAGTTTTGTGATTGTTAATCTGGTTGAAACTGGTATTTTATATTTAAGTTATGTAGCTTTTCATACTACTTTCATATGAATAAAGGTAAATTCTAGCAGAGTTTAAAAAATAGTAAGTTTTGGTTATATATAGTTTTTTTCAGGTACTTTTTGAGCTTGGATTCTAGGCGCTAGTGCAGGAGATGTCTCCAGCAGAATGCTTCAGTGCCTGACATGGCCCTCTTTAGTAGTGCAATGTTTGAGAGTAACCTGGTAGTTACACAAGCTAACAGTCCTAAAAATAGGTGAATTTCTTGAGAATAAAACAAAATGTGGCTTTCTACACAATTTATGCTTTCCAAAAGTGATGGTATTTTTCAGCTACATATGAATGAAAAGAAAGACTGACCAGAGCTCAACAGTAAAAGCAGCTATTAGAATATCTCCCTCTTCCAAAATAGTAAAAAACTTTGACTGTACATACAGGAAATACCTGTGTTAGGTGTTTTGGTTTTTTTAAATTTTTTTTGAGCAACTTTGGAAAATGGATTTGATGGTATATAATCAGTTTTACTAACCAAAGCTTCATTTGAAAACTTACTTTTTGTAAAATTGAATTACATGCTTGAATACTTTAAGTCACTTTATAAGCAAAATGGATAGCACTTAATTTGTTTATACTGTAAAATATATGTTAAATGGTTTTATCAATTTGAAAATAAAGATAGTTACTAATGCTGTTGTATTTTTATAACCTTTAAGAACTAATCAAATACACATTACAAAGCTATGATTTTTATCTTCAGATCTATTATTTGATAGTATTTAAACACAGGAGTAGACTGGCTTGTTTGAAGATACGAAATTAAGGCGCATTGAATTTGTTCCTGTGCTCTAATAACTATGGCATTTACTGTGAAAATGATTAAACATAAGGACTAGATTCTTTATATATGCAGAATTGTGAGCTCAAGAGATGGCTCAGTGGCTGGAAGGAGGAGTACCCCTGGCAGTTTTCAGTGTCCACATCTCGCACAGCTGTCTAACTCCAGTTCCTAAAGATGTGAGGCCTCTGGCCTCGTGCGCACCTGCGCTCACTTCCTGTACAACGCCCAGACACCCACATTCATTAAAACAGAAGGATAAATACTTTTAAAAGTTTTTTTAAAGAGTTTTCTTTAAGCTAGCCAGCCATATTAGAAATCTATATAAGTAAAAATAGCTTTTAAGCCATAAATATTATTTTAATCTACTATCTTAAATAGGTTTCAGAAAACAGGTCCAATTTGGTGTGGTAATGTAGGCTACTTAAACATTTAAAAATGGGCCTTGATAACAGTAAGTTAATAAACCTATTTGTGCAAAACTTGTTTATATTTGAGGCCAGTTTTAATATTAACAAGAAGTAAGAAAAGCCCACCAATCTGCTGTCTAAAACTCCTTTAAGAAGAGAAAGCATTTTTCAGAGACCAAAAGCTGACTCTTGGAATTAATAATTGCGCCCCCCCCACACACACACAGTGTAAATACTTAAATTGTTTCAAAAAGGAAGGAACTCTTGAATGCACTTGGAAGAGCATGAAGCTACCTGGTGTGTTTGTTTAAAAAAGTTGGCTGGGGCCGGGTGGTGGTGGCGCACACCTTTAATCCCAGCACTCGGGAGCAGAGGCAGGCGGATCTCTGTGAGTTCGAGGCCAGCTTGGTCTACAAGAGCTAGTTCCAGGACAGGCTCCAAAGCTACAGAGAAACCCTGTCTCGGGGGGTGGGGGGAGAAAGGTTGGCTGGGTGCGGTGCAACAGACCTTTAAGTTATTTAGAAGGCTAAGCCAGGAGGGTTGCAGTTCAAGGCCCACTCAGGCTACCAGACAACCTCTTCTCATAACTAAAGGAGGCTGTAGATAAGAGCTCGGTGGTAGAACACTTCCCTCCTATGTGTGAGAGCCTAGGTTCAACTACAGAAACTCGGTGTATTTTTATTCTTAAACAGTGTACGTATATAATGTATCCTGTTCATTTTCACTCCCCATTACTCTGTCTTCCACTCTTGCTGAACCCCCTTTTCCCCCAGCAAGTTTTTCTTCTACTTTTTCTTTTTTCTAGGGACTCACTGAGTTTAATTGGAGATGCTTGCCTGAGCAGGGTGGGAGACTACTGAGGCATGGGCAGCTAATTAGTGGCAATACCGCTGGAAAAAATGACTCCTCTTCCCCAGCAAACAATTTATTAGAGAGGGGTGTGGCCTCCTGAGCCCCATTCCCCATTCTTGGTGGAATGTCTGCTGCCCCATCTAGGGCATATAAACACAGGTGCTGTGAGTTCCTGGGTGCAGTAGCCATGCTCTACCCAGGTGGCAGCATTTCATAGCCCTTGCCATCCTCTAGCTCGGGTTGTTTCTGCCACCTCGTCCGTGACGCCGGCTGACCCTTGGAAGGACTGACGATAGATATCCTGTTGAGGGCTGAGCACTAAACTGTGACGTCTCAGCACTTTGACCCAGGTACGACCATTATTGAGTACTTCTGAGTGCTGACAGCAGTTATTGCACTTTTTAGCTGTTTTCTTCCATCTGCAATAATAGGTATTTACCTTATAGTGAGCTAGATTCGTGGGTGAGGATACATTTACTCTGAATCCCTAATATTCAGCTTTAACACAGAGATTTTCTAAAAAGAAATACTACACATTTGTAACTTGAACTGACAGAAATAGAAACACATCATAAACCAAATGGCCACAGAATTTAATTCGTAGACCCGTTTTTTGATGAGAGCAGAAGACTGAAACTGGCCAGGTAGTTTAGGATAGGAGACCCCAAAAGAAATATTTTCCTTGGCTTAAAATCTGAAACTGTCCTTGACCCTCTGCACAGTTCTGTGCTTGCCAAAGCCAGATACCAGAAGGGAGGCCACTAGGCCTCTCTCTCCCTAGAGGGCGTGCCTGTCTGGAGTCTGTGCCTAGCAGCCTGGACCTGATGGTGGAGCCATCTGTCTAGTCCATCCCCTCCCCATGCTCATTCCTGCTGCGAATTCAATAAAAAGCCCCTAGACGAGCAGCAGTCCCACACGCTCCCATTTCCCAGAGTCTACACAGGAGCTCTGCCTCTTCTTAGGCTCCCACCTGTGAATCGATAACACAACTGCTTTCTGAACCCATCCTCTTGTTGCCTATGAACTGCATTTGGATTTACATCCAAGAACTCAGAGGCTGCTGACTCAATAGACTTTCCTGTGGCCACCAGCTTCAGGCACCTGCAGTTTGGAAGCCCACCCACAGCAGTACAGAAAGCCGCCTTCAAAGTCTGGGACACCCCATTGTTTCATATTTTGGTTTCTCAATTACTATTTCCAAGAATGTTCTGAATCATCTCTGCCTCGAAGTTGTTCTCCATCTTACAAATACATCTCACAGCTTGACAAACGCTTGGGAGATCACGGGAATTACGCCTTTCACGGGTTTTCTTCATTTATTGAGCTCCACAATCAAAGACCCGGCATGCTTTTTAACACAGTAGAATCTCGTTTCTGTGTTTCTCGATTCCACAGTAGAATCAAGTTCCATGTGTATATTCCCTGCCCCCTGTGCTACAAACCAAAGTGATTTTAAAGGACATGCTTGCCACCTCCGGGCTGCTGGGAAATCCTAACTTTTCCAGATAACTCAGTGTGATGTAAGTTAGTGTTGCCTGAGTCTGGCCGCTAGATAGTGGTAATGTGAAGAAGGTTCTTTCTTATACCACATTCTGAAGATGATCAGGTCAGAGAGGCCACATTTTGGTTTGGTTTAGGCACTGTAACAATGAGAAGATAAATTGGTGGCAGCGGGAAACGGTGCCCTCTGATGGGGCAAATAGACATCCAATCGTGATTCCAGTCATCTGGAGTCACTCTGGCTTTCTGAGGCTTATTTTTGTAAACAATAAAAAGCAAATTCCTAGACAAACAGGGTCAAAGATACAAAGTCCATGCCTTGGTTTTTGTCCTTTGTTTTTATTAGACTGAACAGGGAATGGCACAGACTGGTAACATGTAGTGCACAGATACTGGTCTGAAGGCCACACTCTGAATACTGCCAAAAAGTGTCAGTGCATCCATTCATCCGGCATAACCTGAGAGAACACACAATTCCAGGTTCACTTGACCCTGCTAAGCCCCGACTTACCCATCTGGGCCAGCAGATCTGTATGATGAGGCTTTCTATGACAGCTCACAATGGTGTACTGACCTCTCAAGAAGCACTCAAACGGTAGGTGAATTGAATAACTGGCTCATTTGCATATTACACAGGCTTTTTCCCCCCATTATTGTGTTAGTGTGTTTTTATGAGTAGGAGAGAAGAACAAAAGAAAAAAGGTGGGTTCAACTGATAAATACGGGACCCTGAGAGCTTGTCTAAAGCCCGTAGTACAAGCATAATGAATTGAAGGTCCTCGACTAAATCCCATCCTTTCCAAGAAAGCGCACCCTCGTCACTGTGCTAGCCTTGTTAATGGATGAAGAACAGAGGGCACACACAAGAAGTCAGAAGTACATTTCGCCCAGCCGTGTCTGCAGCCAGATACTTCCATGGCCTGGACTGAAAAACTGCTGACGCAGTATGTATTTCTGTCAGCTCAAAGTCTCAGTGACTCCGGACATTCAGTGTGCCCTTCCTATGCCAACATGGGTGTCCTCAATCTTCCCATTTGAGGCAAGGACACAAATTTGGAGATGTTAAGTTGCTTCTGTCACAACAGCCAGTTAGTTGCTAGCCAATTCTCAAACGCTGGCCAGAAAATCTGCTCTCTAACACCATCTTCCTGTGTCCAGAGACACTGCTCCAGCAATGGGGTCCAAACCGGTCCTTGAGGTTACGTGACTAGAAAGCAGGCAGACCTGGGCCCCAGTTGCCGTAGCTATAACAACAGCTATTCTTTAGATGACCAGAAAGCTCTTAAACTAAGAAACAGCACTGCTGTAATAGAAAACTGTCAGCATTGGATCAACGAACTCCACAGCTAGTATCAGCCGATTCCCAATAATATCAAGATCTTAACACATTCACTTTGGCCTGTACATTTATGCTTCCACTTCTTTCCAAGAGTCTTGAACTGTCAGTACACCGCACTTCCAACTTCGAGCACTTCACCTTCCTGCCCTGAGAAGGAGGAGAGAATAAAGACACAGAAGTAAAGACACCCCTGGAAGAAAATGGGTGCAGGTGGCTGGAGAGAGCAGCGGACTGCAAGCGTCACAGGTCAGGAAGTGGGCCTCTGCTAGGCAGAGGGATTTCCTCGTATGTTATTTTGACGAAGGGGAATTTCATAGGTAGGAACCAATATTCAAAGTTATAAAACAGGTAGAACTCTCTGTGCATAATCACTGTATCAAAAATTTTCAAGAGACTGAACAGAAATTCTTTGGTTGACAAGTGTGGTTTGAAGAGGTTATAAAATTTTTTTATGGCGGAAGCAAGAGTCTTGTTTCCTTTTGGCCCAAAAATAGATGTTTCGTTTCCCAGGTAAGCAGGTTCTCCGCTGTAAAGAAATATTCTTGTATAGTTTGTTTCTATCTTCTTGAATTCTGCTCCGAATTCAGCCAGTTTCTCGTATGTCCTTAACACAAATTTCGAACAGTCGTAGGATTCAAACCACGTCTCCGCCCCCTTTCCTGGGCTGGCCCGGACCGTCCACGTCTCATAATAGATCCCCGTGTCATTGTCCTGCTTCACCCACTCCGCCAGTTTGTTAAATGTGTTTCCTGGTGGAAAAGGCAACAGAATAAACTGCTTACAAAATGTGCTGAGACCCAATAAAGACCAGGATGAATAAATAAGAAATACTCTAAGACTTCAAAACCCGTATCCCACAGCACACAGCAGGAATGCAGGCGCAGCTACACCCCTTCTAGTTGTCAAGGCCTTTGAGCTGCAAATACAAGATGTAGTGGGGGAATAAGATAGAAAGGGAACTCTTACAATTCTGTAGTTATTAAAGCTATGGTCAAGGCGATTGTCGAGTATAAATACACTCAGGCAGTAGCTCTCTTTCTCTTTTTGGCAAGTCTTGGGTTCAGAAGCAAGAACTGACGCAGGAAAGGCAAAAGACAAAGAGTGGAAGAAGAAGAGAGAAGGGCAAACGGCTGAACTGCCAAGGAGTGGGCTGCTTAGTAGGCATGGCGGCTGAGGTGCAGCTCCTGCCTAGGCTTAATGTCTGCTTTAGAGTGGGAAGCATGGTCCTTAGTAGCGTGGTAAAGCAGGCCTTGCAAACACTATGTCATAACATCCAGAGAAGGTCAGGAGACAGGATTAGTCATACGCAAAGCTGAATTTACAAGCTTCAAATTCTAGCATTTTGCAGAAGAGCGATCACTACTTATTAGATTCTCGGGTTATGTGAGGAGGAAGGAAGGTGTGAATTAGCTTGGGATGTAAGACAGAAACTACTCATCTACTGCTGAAAGAGATGGGCTTTTGTCGGGTGAATTATAAAGTAGACGGAAAGACTAGAAAAGCAGTGCTTGTGTTCGAAGACCGGGTTACATTTAAAAGCCCTCGACTATAGGCGTGGCCTGTTCCATCCAGCTCGGTGACTGAAAGTGTCAGTCATGTCACTGGCTGAACTCACCTGTTAACACTTCCTTACCTGTAAAACCCAAGGGAGAGGTCTTACCCTCCCCCACTGAATGATGCGTTAACACACCTTAAATTGTTGTGTAGAAACTAACAGACAGACACTGATCATTTCCTCAAGTCCTGGGGCTGGTGGGAAAATTAGCATCACAAATAATGCTCTCATTTCAGCACCCTGCTTTCCTGGACAACCACCATGCACACAGTAGGTTCACACAGAGTGCAAGCAGGCCCTGAATTCTCCACAGGAGGCAATGGGCCAGTAAGTTAATATGAGTCAAGGTCACATACATAGTGCCTGACAAAAAAAAGTTCCCATGATAAAGGAATCAATAGCTAATGCAAAACTACAATGGTGTCATCAGCTTTCCTGATGAACACTCAGACTTTGCTCAAGAGGACATGAGATGTATCACAGCACATATATCAGGGAGGCAGTGAACCAAAATGCTTAAGAGAATGACGGAGAGGGCTTTCCTGTCAGGGCTGGAGTCCTGTTACTACACCTGGGTAACTTTAATCTTACCTGTTTCCCCATCTGCACAATGGAGGAAACAGTAATGATTCTCTCAGGAGTCTGAGACTGGTAAGTGACGTGCTCTAAGTATAGCATTCAGAACAAGGCCAGACCCAGAGGAAGCAAACCCTTAATGTTTCTCCACCTACAAATAATTTATACCCTTCTTTTTTTCAGATACAGTCAAGAGGCCTTCCTAGTGGGGTGTTTTATGGATCCCCTAACTGCTGTTTATGTGGACTTCAATTTAGCTATACAGAGCATTTGTTTCCTTCCTGTCTCTCAGGGACAGAGCAGATGAGCCATGCATCTCCTAGCGAAGCTCTGCATCTGGACCCATTTGGTCCACGGTGGATGGCACCAGAAGCACAGACTACAGATGATCACCATGAGGCCAGGCATGAAATCTCAGTGAACGAAATCTCCCGCCTGCATACCCATGCGATCGTCCACCTGTACTCTGTTTCTGAAACTTACCGGATATGGTCGCGACTAGAGCTAATGTCCCATTCTCCTTCCAGTGTCTGTCATCAATTCCTTCAAAAAAGCAGGCTGCTCCTTGGTTACACCAGAACGGAGCATCCATTTCAGGCCGAAGGTGAGGAAACGTACAGTTGCCAAGCTGAAAAAGCTCATACCACTCCATTGTGTAGTTCTTGCCTGTCATTGTGTTCCTGAATCCAATAGCATCGTGCATAATTTTCTGTGTAGAGATAACGCAGGTGTGAGCGCACCTTTGGAGTAACCACGGGCTCAGGACGCCTACTAGGAGAGACTCTGATACACAGAAAATGCACACCAGAGAGATCAACTTCTGTCACTATCCTTCACCGCAGCCCCTCAAACTGTAGACACCTACAGTTTTGGCAGCTAGGGCTCATTTTAGTAAGGATGTGAGCTATCTGAAGAAACTGTGGATGTTCTCACAGCTTATGGTAAACAAGAAAAGCTGTCGTGAATATTCCAGGAAAGTGTGTGCCTACCTCCCTGGGTGATTGACAGCTGGGAAAGGGCTCACAGCAGAGCTTAGAGACCTGATTCCTGCCTGCCTTGCCTTTCTCTCATTCCCAGGAACTGGGGACAGTAGGGGAGCTTACATTGTTGCCATGCGACTCCTCCTGAGAGCACATGGACTCTTAAAGCCAAGAGAAACAAAGTCTTTGTTCCCAGACTGGAAGGCTACATAGGAAACTTGCCCAAGTTGTGTAGTCATGAGCCTGACCAATCTTGGCTTTTTATGAACAAAAATATATCCTGGTTAACAGACTTAGCAAGAAGTCAGCAATAAATGGAGCTATGGAGTAAAAAAGCAAGGTCTGTACATTTAGGGACTGACCCAGAACTATGGACCATGACAGACTGGGTCTTTACTCTTTTTGGCAGGTGATGGGGTCTACATGCTAGGCTCTTAGGTCAGAATGGTGTCCTGGTGCCTCTAATATGGACTTGTGCTAAGGCCTGGGGTCCATTACAAGATCCTTCATAGCAAAACATGTTAAGGCCAAGACACTGGTTACTCGCCCTAACTTCTGCTTTGTTTTTGAGACAGTCTTATTGTGTAGCCCAGACTCACTCTGAAATAGTAATTCTCTTACTTGGACCTTCCACGTGCTGGGATTACAGGTGTGCAGCACCATGTAGATGCAATGGTGACTCTCTCTGACTGCCAATTTAAAGGTGCTAAGAAGTCTGTCATGGGCTGGAGAGATGGTTGAATGGGTAAGAGTGCTTGCTAGACCCGAGTTCAAATCCCTAGCACCCACCTAATAGCCAGGAATTTCCACTTGTGTCTCTTTCCCCACGACAAGCTCACTGGCCAGCCAGTTTAGCTACAGGTTCAGTGAGAGACAAATGACACTCAACATGCTCCTTCAGCCACTTCATGCTTGTGAATAGGTACGTACACACACACACACACACACATACACACACCATACAAAGTATATCAATAAATATGATCTAGAAACCCTCTGATTACTCATTTAAGTCAAAGTAATCACTTTTTTAAAGTTATTTAATTAGTTAATTTTTTAAAAAATTATTTAAGCAAAGTTACAAGATCAAGATGCATTCTTACAAAGTATCCCAGGAGGTCTCCATATTTAAATTCCCAAACAGGGGTTTGTAGTCTTAAGACTTCGATGACGTCATTGTCCTTCATAAGTGGGATGGGTGAGCCAGTGGGACAGAAGGTATACTTAGCCTGACAGTAGGGGTCTGGCTTTGGACGGAAAGCGAAGCGCCTAGTGAGGAAGAGAACCGTCAAATTAGATCTGAAAAGGAACTGTTCTTCTAACACATTTAGAATCCCAATTTTCCTTGCAGGCTTGCTTCAGCGCACTATGTGTGTGTTGCGGGTGTGTTACATGTAGTATGTGCACATGTACAGGTGCCTTTCCTTGATTGCTTTACACCTTTATTAGCTACTAGACCAGGTAGCCAATGAGCTTCAAGAATCTACCTGCCTCGGGGCTGGAGAGATGGCTCAGCGGTTAAGAGCACTGACTGCTCTTCCAGAGGACCCGGGTTCAATTCCCAGCACCCACATGGCAGCTCACAACTGTCTGAAAATCCAGTTCCAGGACATCTGACACCTTCACACTAATGTACATAAAATAAAGTTAAATAAACCATATTTAAAAAAAACAAAAACAAAAAAAAAAAAAAAAAAAAAAGAATCTACCTGCCTCTGTCTCTCCCTCCATAAGGCTAGGGTTCCAGGTATGCACTGCCATGCTGGTTTCAGTTCATGCTGGTTTGAGTTCAGAGAATCCAAACTCATGGCCTGGGGATTATGATGTGGGCACTGAGCCATCTTCTTTGCCGTCAATATTTTTAGGGAAAATATTTAAAGCTTCGGCCATAGTATAGAGTAAATATAAATGTACATTTTACTTGTTTTCATATACACACTCCCAATGATGTGTTAAATATCAAATCATAAAGCAGATTTGACATTTAAAACTAAACATTCAACTAACATTTCCCGAGGAACTACCATTTACAGGACTACACGGAAAAGAAGGGGAACAAAAATTACAACCCTGTTCCCTTCCTCACCAAGCCCAGAGCTGGGACTTGGAAGACATTAAGTCAAGCGGTAGCTGTGGTAAGAAGTGAGCTAAGGAAACAGAGACCTAAGCACGATGGAGGAAGAACTCGGTTCCAACGGTGGGGGTGTACGGTGCTATTAGGAGAAGGCACTGGGAAAGAAAGTGAAGCCAGGAAGGGAAAGAGGATTATAAGACAGAGGAAATAGCTCAGGGCTTCTCAACATTCCTAATGCCATGACCTCATATTGTGGGAACCTACAACCATAAAATTATTTCGTTGCTACTTCATAGCTAATTTTGGTACTGTTATGAAAATACCCGATATGTAGGCTATCGAATAATGAGATCCCTGTAAAAGGGCCATCCAACCCCACTAAATGGGTTGTGGCCCCCAGGTTGAGAACCACTGAAATTCCAGCAGTGGCCGACAAGAATCCAGGCCTCAAGACAAGCGCAGAAAGGGTCTAACAAGTCTGTCATGGGAAGTATGAACTGACATCCTACAGCCCCTGACATGGGGACCTTGTGTCCTGAATAAATTAGGGGATTTTAAAAAGCAGATCTCATTGGGATGAACAGACCAAAATAGACCCGTACAGAGTCACTGGGGTTAAAATTCAGGCAGAGACCACTCAGGAGACTGCAACAATGCCAAACAAAACACTTTTAGACAGATGCAGCAACTAGAGCAGACAGGGACCATGGCTCAGCACACTTGTTACCGCATCACCTTCCAGGCCTGGCTGCATTGGAGCAGAAGCAGGAGGAAGAACACTAAGATCCCAAACACAGAGTATTTTATTACAGTCTGAACACAGGAACAAAAACTTTTTAGCTGGCTTAACAAACATATAGCTTCATTACCCACAGAAAAATCTAGTTTAGGTCAAGGGTAAGTTTATAGGTCTAACTCGAGTGAAATTTTCGTAAAGGTAAATATGCCAGTGGCCAAGAGGGCGTGTCAAGTTGAGGCTTCTTTGGAAACAAAAATCAGTCAGCCTCCTCTTGGTGTGAAATAAAATACTTTCAGATTTACCTTCTCTTCTTTGTTTTAATTGGATATTTAGTTTTTATTTCTTGTGAATGTTTTCATAAAAACCAGTTTCGGACCTAAACTTTTTCTTTACATACATTAAGCAGAACCAGTTTGTGAACAGAACACACGAATATTTAAGTTTGGCAACAGTTGGTTTTCACTGGAGATGGTCCTACCAATGATAGCGCTGCTATCATTTCCTCTTTTCGGTTCAGGGCATGTGAGCATGAAGATATGGAGTAATTTTCCTAAGACCACACCGAGGAGGGGCTGGTCCAACAGATCTGATCTGCGGACGGACTCTGAACCAGGAACTCCCTGGCCATTCTTCACCGTGCTCACTCTAATGCAAAACATTTGTTTTCAGAAGCGGCGGTTCCTTCCACTTCTTGATGTCCACACTCTCTCTCCCCTACCAAGTCCCCTCCCACGGGCTGTCGAAACTCAGCTATGTCAAAGACTCCAATCAGCTTCTCAGGTCCAGAGTCTGCACCTCCAGGTAGAAGTGGACCAACGAGGAGATCCTGTTTGTTCCAGGGAGGAGTTTCCCCGGGTCTGGAATTTAGAGCAGTAAGATTGGGAAACCCGGGGCACACCTGGGCAGGCGACCTCCCTGTAAATTTTGCAAATATTATGCAAAAACGACTGGTGATAAAGCAGTAAATAAATTTAGTATGTCAACTGTGTTTTAACCTGCTCTCCGAGTCAGTCGGTTGTACTTAAAAGTCACTCAGTGTAGAAATGTCTCTCTCCCTTCCTCCCAGGACTCGGGGCTGCCCAGAATCGGTGAGGACCCCTCAGCTTCCAACTAGCTAGGAACTGCGTCCCCAGTGTCGACCGGCGCCCGGGTCCCCAAGCACGTCCCGGGGTAGTTCTGCACCCTCCAAGTCCCGTCCAAGTCCCCTTCCGCCTCACTCACTTGTAGGGCACCGGCCAGCGGTGCCCCGAAGTAGGGGACGCGCCCAGAGTCGCCGCCAGCCCG